CTGCAGCTTGCTGGCTCTCTCTTTCTCCCTGTCTCACTCTCTCTCTTTCTCTCCCTTTCCTATCGGAGCACAATGAAAGCCTGTGTATCGCCGTGACTCCGGGCAGTGGAGCCAGTGTCAGCAAAGCGGCTAACAAGAGACGAGAAAGAGAAAGGAAAATTCAAGCTACTTTTTTTTCCATCTATAAAACGGAGCAATACAAGAGATAGAACCACATTGCTTATTGCGAGTCCAGACCCTCAGATCCCCTGGCCGGGGATGGAATGTACAAAAGTGGACAGAAAAGTGGCTGGACATGACTCGGTGCAATTTGCTGGAAGTTTGTAAGTTTGACCATCGTTTATAAATTACTCTCGGGAGAGTTTGTCTCTCTTGATACTGTATTAGAATAGAGCCGGGGGTGAGGAATAGAAACGTAAGCGGGAAAGAAAAAAATGTGGTGAAGGATCTCTCTCAGTGGCTAGCGACTTCAGATTGCTTTCATTTAAAGCTAGGAAACCTTAGAGGGAATGAGGATTTTACCGGTGATTGGATTAGCTGAAGAAAAAAGCATGGTTCAAAAGTCCGGTTACTGACATTGTTAACAATTGAAAAGCTGTCTCCCTCTTTTGGGAGAAGACAACATTCTACAGTACCCCAAAGAGGAGAAAGCACCGGGAGCAAAGGGGAAGGGAAGAAAAAAGCCAAAAGACAGTTTCCCTTGGTTTTTGCACGTTTTGAACATTAACTTCGAAAATCTGAAACAGCACATTTTTTTTTTTAACCTGAGAAAAAGTAAAGGCTGCGGGTTACATAGACCATGGTAGAAATGTGTTTCTTTGCAGATACAGCCTCATAAAGAATTTTTCTGAAACAAGTAGGTGAGGGGGAGTCCAGCTCTCTATTAATATCTCCCTCAATTCCCTTTGCTGTCTCTTTCTGTCTCTCGCTTGACAATTCCTGAATTCTTCATCTATCCCCCCAGATCGAGTGTTTATGAAGTACCTAGTGGCTCTTGTCAGCTTGGTGGGGGAAAAAAATCCACCAACTCTGTCCAACTTCTCCAGAGCTGTCAAACGCAATTAGAGTAAGTTGATCAGGGTTTGTTTCCAACTTATCCTCTCCAATTGGTTTCTATTCTTTCTCCCCACCCTCTTTTTACTAGCTCCCCTCCCCCATACCTTCTCCACAGCTCCCCCAACCTCTGAAGACCTCTATTCATGTGGCCCTGAACACTGAGCTCACATTGTCAAAAACAGATTTGCCTGCAATAGCCAGCAGTAGCCTCCGTCCACCTCACCATCCCAGAGGCAGCAATCATTGTGTCCAGTAAGATGGGGGACACAGCGCCCCCACAGGCCCCTGCAGGGGGGCTAGGAGGGGCCCCTGGGGCGGGACTCCTTGGAGGGGGCTCAGTCACCCCGAGAGTGCACAGCGCTATCGTGGAGCGCCTCCGGGCTCGGATAGCTGTCTGCCGCCAACACCACCTGAGCTGTGAAGGACGCTACGAACGTGGTAGGGCCGAGAGCTCAGACCGGGAAAGAGAGAGCACCTTGCAGCTCCTGAGCCTTGTCCAGCATGGCCAGGGGGCAAGAAAGGCTGGCAAACACACCAAGGCCACCACCACTGCTGCCACCACTACAGCCCCTCCACCGCCCCCAGCTGCCCCACCTCCAGCTTCCCAAGGAGCAGCAACAGCAGCTCCACCGCCCCCACCAGACTACCACCATCACCACCAGCAGCACCTGCTGAACAGTAGCAATAATGGTGGCGGTGGTGGGATCAACGGGGAGCAGCAGCCACCAGCTTCAACCTCGGGCGACCAGAGGAACTCAGCCCTGATTGCGGTAAGGCACCTGGTTTTCTCATGTTTCTGGCTGTGGTCATGTGGCCTTTTTGTGAGGGCAGAGCTTGCATTGGCCTAACTTAAGCAGATGGCAGTGGAGAGGGCCATGATGTTGCCTGACTACCTCAAAGGCCATCGGGTATGTTGTTTGTGCAATTTTGTACTCTTACTCATCGAATTCCGCTGCGGATCATTCATGGGTTTCCCTCCACATGTAGAGTTTTCCTTAACTGGTGGGAAACCTGAGTTTTCCAGAGGCTCTCGGGCGGCCAGAGATGGTAGAAGAGGCTACAAAATCTGAGCCACTGAGGAAGGCCCTGTGTCAATGATCTTCCTGCTTCGACTAGCCAGTTCTGATTAGGCCTGGCAAGCATTCATCAGTCTGAAAGCCTTTATCAGCCCGGCTGACCTTTGGCAAAACTTTTTCCTTCTTGCCCCATTCCTCCTCCCCTCTGAAGTGGGCCCATCTCCTTGAGTTAAGAAAACATAAATGGTATCTGTAGTACAGAGTAATTCCCTGAGTGTTCCCTCTGTCCCAAAAAAATTGAAGGGAAAATATTCCAAAGATAGACCGATGAGGAAATATTTCTAAGATGCCTACTCCCTGATTTCCTATAGACCTCCCCACCCGCTCCCGTCTAGCTTCTTTCCATAGGCACCCCAATCCAGGAGTGCTAACCAACAGCATTCATCTAAGTGGGCAGGCAGAAAGGGCCTGTTTACACAGAGATCATCCTAGGTAGTGCCTTGTCTTCAGCCACTTCTGGTGATAGGATATCAAACCCAAAAGTTGTGATTAAGTTTCTCGGAGGCACAGACACACCCCATCCCAGAGGGAGTATCCCTTGAATCATTGGCTCCTGGTGCCAGCCCTGGTCAGGTGACTGCCTGCTGTGTGCTGGCTTCCCCAGAAGCTGCTGGGCCAGTGTCCTCTGGGTAGAAGGTGGCGCCCTGCCCTGCAGCCCTGCAGGCTTCCTCCATTGCTGAGTCCTGCGGGGCCCTTGAAGTTCTGCGTCTGCTTATAACACAGTTCCAGTTTACCCAAACCAGCCTTTATGAAAGTCAGCAGCAGGAAATGGTCATGCAAGCCCAAAAGTGCTCAAAACATCCAAAGGAGAGGATGACAAGTAGCCCACCGAACTCCTCATCCAAAGGAGCCTGAAAAGGAGTTCTAGGCAGAGGGGCATCCTCCAGCCAGGTCCATAGGATTCTTCTTTCTGAACCCCGTCCCTCCCTGGCTTGGATCTGTGGTGATAAAGTCTCCAGGAAGACAATTGCAACTTCCTGAAGCCAGCTCCTGATGAAAAATAACTTATTGCTAACAGCGAAGTTGACTAGGGTTTACTGTTTTATCCCTGAATACAATTAGCCTGTGGGGTTGCAGTAACACTTTAAGGTCTAATTTTCTTTCTCTACCACCTGCTCTATCCCCACCTCTCCCTGGAATTCCCTAGGAGAGCAGTGGGAGTTTGTTTTGTGAAAGAGAGATGCTGAGGTGAAGGAGGGGGGTAAAGAATTGCTCAAATGGAGAGAAGAATGAGGTTTGTATGTATGTGTGTGTCACCGGCATCTGCAGCCAAAAGTATCTAAATGCCTTGATTGTCCCCAGTAAATTTATAATCTGTCTGCAAGTCTCCCAATAATACGGCTTTGTGTGCTTCACGGTCTCCTGGTAAGTGTTTCTGGGGATGATACACAGAATGAGGCAACCAGCCCAAACCCGAGTGGAAAAGACTAATCTCTGCCGTGGGTGCCAAGACTGGAGGGGCCTTTAAAGGGCCACAGTCTGGGCTTGTCCTGTAGCTTCACCTCCCAGCCTCTGCCCAGCACCACAGTGGCATGTTTGCTTACAGCCCTGGTCTTTTGGTTTTTGCTTTTTCTCCAGCTTGGAAATAAAACGAGGTTGCCTCTTTCTCCTGGAGGTTTCAGGATGTGAAATGAAACCAACTTCAGTGGTTATTGAAACTTGACAATAGCAATACCCAAACTGAGAGAGAAGTGAGAGAACGGCATCTGAACCTTCCCAACTTTTAAAGGCTTACTGCTGCAGAAGCCAGAGGTGGCTTCTGTGCCACCCCTGTTGTAAGAGAGAATGTTTTCTCTCTTCCAGCCACTAGCCATCTCCTGAAGCATTCCCTTAGAGGAGCTCCTTCCCGGAGTGTAGGGATGATGAGAGGAGAAATGTGTGGAGTGAAAAAGAACAGTTTCTTTCCAATGGTTGCTTTTCACTGAAAATTGTAGTGCTGCAAGATTGGGCCCCCTCCTCCCTTTTTGGCTTTTGGAAATTCCCTCTCCATTTTAGCTTCTAAATTTGGCGCTTTGTTACTCAGCATGGTACTAAGAGATGGTGATGCAAGTACTGTATTAACTTGATAACATTGTGTCCAAAGGGAGGCCTCGGCATTTGGGAGTGATTCACATCTGCAGGTCTCACTTCACTTGAGTTCCTCTTATTTTCAGACACACTGTTAATTTAAAAGGGCCCCTGCTCAGAATGAGTGTTAGAATTATTTCTTAATTTTATTGCTGTTGGGTCCATAACCAGATTTATGTGGTCTGAGAGTGTTGAATGTATCACTTTAATAGTTAGTTTGTGTGCCACATGGCCATAAATATCCTTCAGAGAAAGGGAGAGAATATTGATCATCTAAGATCAAATACGTATTGGTGTCCATAGATGCAAGCTCTGCGTCCTTCATACCTTAGTACGATGCCTTGTGCATAGTGGGTAATATTTACTGAATGAATGAATGGATGAGAGGAAAGGAGAACTTCTGTGAGATAGTGTTGACTTTGAGGAGTGTTATACACTGCAAGGGATACATAATGTCTGAGTTCTTTCAATAGCCTAAGTTTCAAGAACAATGCAAGAATAGCCTCCGAGCCAGATCTAATTCTGTCCACATTAAGAATCTAATTCTGCAGTCCTTACTCAGCCAGTTTCTTCATTTAGCTCAAACACAAGTTCAGGGGGAAGCCCCGCTGCTGCAGAGACTGCAGGAATAAGGCTTTTCAGAGGGCCCAGATCACAGGACTTTGAGATCTGTCTTTCTAACCACTTGGAGCAGGCTTTATGCACTAAATCATTTTCTGGTGAAGTATGTTTGAGTCTTTGAATGGACTGTGAAGCTTAATAATTGCTGGTCAGTGGAACAGTAAGGCTTAGAGTGTCTGTGGTGAATTTTTAATCTTTCCCCTTTGCCTGAGACAAGTTCTTTTTCTGTTGCATCAACTGTACTGCTAGGATGGGTGGATAAGTGGTCCCAAATTGTCTTTGGCTTCAGAGATTATCTTTTCTCTAATGTGGTGTGGAGGAAAGAAAGCAGATCCGACAAGGAGTCTGTATCCCAGTTCTGTGCCTCCTTGATCACTTACCAGCTGTGTGACCTAGGACAAGTCACTTAACAGCCACCTGTAAAACTGAAAGAACAATAAGGCTGCCCTCTCTTGCTGAGAGAAGCAGATGAACATGTGTTTCTGAACAGGCTTTGGAAAAAATAAAGTAGTGCAGGAATGCAAGACATTATTAGTAGCATTACTAATAATAAACTACTAAACAATGAATTGATAGTACCAGTTTATTTTTTTCTAGGGATTAAAAGTATCCTGAGCTTTCAGTTGTCTGGTGAAATAGCTTTTATTGTAAATAGAGGGATTGGTATTTCAAATTTAGTGCTGTCAAGATAAGGCTGAGATATCAGTGTTCTTAAGTGTTCCTGAAGGTCCCAGTAAATCCTAGTTAAAATGTGCAATGTTGTGAAAGTGTTTGTGGTCTGGGAATGCATGTCCTTTACAGGCCCTTACGTGGGCTAGAGAAGCGTTTGGAAGGTGTGTCCACTGCAGTGTCTAAGGAATATTAGAAAAGTTGCTTACACAAACGGCATGGGAAAGTTAAATATTTTGTCAACAATAGTCTAGAATGTTAATTGTTAGCTTAAGAAAGTCAAACAAGTTAAATCATTACCAGAGTTCCTTGGTTATTTTGAACTGATAATAATCAAGTTTCCAATTGACAATTCAAAATTTGAGAGCTGTAAGTGGGGGACTGAGAACAGGAATGACTCATTGGCCAGATCTGGGTGTCTGTAGCTGTCCACATGACAAATGTCCTCCCCAGGACAGTGATAGGAGTGTTTACATTATTTATATGTGCAGCCATCAATTCCTTAAGAACTGACCTATTTTTGTCCTATTTTCCAGACTAAAGTAATAAAGGGAGAGTTCTTATCTATCCAGGACCTCTTTACCATATCTTTCAAGTAAATATAGTTATAAGATCTCACAAAGATAGAAGAGTTCAAGTGGAGGGAGAAGTTGCCACAATCCTTGAACAGAAATTGTCAGAAAGCTTGCTTTGACAGCAACGTGATGTTATCATATAAACCAAGATGTCTTGCTTGTTTAGGTCAATGTTTGTTTATAGAAGGTATCTGCTTTCTTTCTTAGAAATAATGTCATTGGTAGGTGGTGTTCATCATATCTTTCTATATTGTAAAGTTTAATACCTTATGGCTTCTCTCTGCCTGTAAGCATTTTGTAAGTACCAAGACAAACATTTAATGTTCTTAGACATAGCATGTAAATATCACTAAAAGTGTGGCTGTGAGTAACTGCTTTTGTTTTTATTTATTTATTTATTTTTGCTCCAGTATTTAATCTCAAAAACCCTAGAAGGAAATTTGAAAAAATCATCCAGTTCTCTTCGGCACTGCAGCTAAACCATTCTGAATGAATTCTACTACTACCTTTTGTTTAATTCAATCCCTTATATACATTCACAGGCAGGACCATGTTTCTTGAAAACTGTTCTAAATTCTTCTTTCTCCATTTTATTGCTAAATTTCTATCACATTCTAATAGGTTCTGTGGAAGAATAGAGTGAATTACTGAAGAAGACATATTCCCTTCTCACAATCTAGGGAGGAAATCAAGACGACCTCAATAAAGTGACAGTCAAGTACTAAGTAAAATGGACCAAAACTGAGAGAGAAAATCAGAGGA